GTTCCGCGACCGCGGAACCGCCCAAACAAGCATCCATCTAGGATATAACGGATAAGCAGCAACACAGTGAGATGCTGTCCATGGACGAACCAATGTCAGGGTCAACATTGACCGGCAAAAGCTCCTCACCGGCACTGCGCCCTCCAATGCCACCTCAACGCTCCTGCCAACGACAAACTGCGGGGTCCCAAAATGGTAAAATGGCAGGGTCCGCACTTATATATCCCTCACAGCTGAGGTTGGCGGCAACCCCGCCAAAACACCCCGGGCAAATTCGAATTCTTTGAATCTATTGGCTGGATTTGAAAATTCCGGGCTGGCTTTCAATCTTGGCCACTTGTTTGCGCACCGGCACATTTTTCCCCCGTTCCGGCAGGGCCAAAAAATGTCCCCCCCCCCCCCCCGTCCCGCCGAGGGGGTATAAAGGCGTGGCCCCTGCCATTCTACCAGTTTTGCAATGTGCGGTTCGGCGTTGGTGGCATCGGGTTTGGAGGTACTTGGAGGGGCGTTTGACAGGCAAGTGGTTGGCGTTTGTCCTGTTTTTTGTTTGTCTATGGACAGCAGCACGACCTGCACGCGAGCAATGTTTGGCCATGGTTGCACACCACACCTGCTAGACATTTGGACAACTTCCGATGCTTGTGCGGTTCCGCGATCGCGGAACCGCACGAGCCTGTCCCAGGCTGGAAATGGACCCTGGAGATGTTTGTGCGGTTCCGCCATTGCGGAACCGCACCAGCCTGTCCCAGGCAGGAAATGAACAGATTACTTGTTTGTACGGTTCCCCCATCGCGGAACCGCATCACACTGTTGCGGATGGGAAATGGACCTTTTAGATGTTTGTGCGGTTCCGCCATCGCGGAACCGCACCAGACTGTCCCAGACAGGAAATGGACCCTAGTGATGTTTGTGCGGTTCCGCCATCGCGGAACAGCAGCAACCGGTCCCAAGCTAGATGTGGCCCTTGGAGTGTTTGTGCGGTTCCGCGATGGCGGAACCGCACCAGACCGTTGCAGGCAGGAAAGGGACTGCTGACATGCTTGTGCGGTTCCGCGATCCCGAAACCGCACCAAACCGTTGCAGGCAGGAAAATGACCCTGGAGAAGCTTGTGCGGTTCCGCCATCGCGGAACCGTACGAACTTGTCCCATCCAGGAAATGGACCCTGGAGGTGTTTGTGCGGTTCCGCCATCGCGGAACCGCATGAACCTGTCCCAGTCTGGAAATGGACTTGCGAGATGCTTGTGCGGTTCCGCCATCGCGGAACCGCACCAGACTGTTGCAAGCTTGGAAACAACATGGGAGATGCAAGTGTGGTTCCGCGGTCGTGGTACCGGACGTAGCCACTGCACCAGCGATGTCGAGGATTTGTTCCACTGCTATTCCGCGATTGTGGAAGCGGAAGCAAGCCGCGTCATATTTTGGGGACGGCCGTATAGCTCACTTCTCATATGTTACCGTTTGCTTTGCAGACCTCGCAACATGTTCCGTCTTTGTTTGGGAGTTGCTCGTGGGTTGGACACAATGCGGCGAAACGGTGAACGCCAGCTTGGAGTCTGATTCCAATGTGCCCCGAAAACGTATTCAGGTAAGATTGGCTTTTGCCTTACATGTCACCCGCCAAAGCATTACACTGTCTGTACAATGACTTAACAGATGTTAATGTGGATGATCCACAGACACACACCACGGCACTGCCTTGCCTTCCAACAGCCGCCCCAACACTTCAACTAGCAGTGCTTACAAACCACACGTACTTCGCCCCCACAAAGCTAGTTGTCCCTTGGCACCTTTTTCCCTACGTCTCAGGGTCGCTGTCGACTTCTTTGTACGCTGGGCCGGTCCTAGTGGGGGGTTGATTCCTGGGTAGTCATTATGCCGGGCTGCCACGTCTTGTCGGGCGTACCCTCCCCCGAAATAAACTCTGTTGATTCGGTGGCATCGTCCACACCTCCACCCTCTCTCTCAACCTCGCCGCCATCCTCCGGGTCATCCCCGGCCAGTAAATCAATCTCTTGAATGACGGGGGGTTCCTCATACGAGATTCGCTCTGTTGCCCGTCGAACGGGGAGCAATCGGCGGCGCGGCTCCGCGACCTCATCGGCCTTTGCTTCAGGAGCAACTGGCGTAGGCCTTCCTCCCTTCACACTAGGTGCACGTCTTTTACGCCCCGCCGAGATGGTACCACTCTTGCCCTTTTTCACCACTTTTTTCTCCTGCTCTTCTTCCTCCTCTTCCTCCTCTTCCTCCTCTTCCTCCTCTTCCCCACTCTCTGAGGAGGTACCGCTGGAGGTATCGTCCTCAGAGGAATCCTCTTCCCCACTCTCTGCTTCAGGAGCAACTGGCGCAGGCCTTCCTCCCTTCACACTAGGTGCACGTCCTTTAGGCCCCGCTGAGATGGTACCACTCTTGCCCTTTTTCACCACTTTTTTCTCCTGCTCCTCTTCCTCCTCTTCCTCCTCTTCCTCCTCTTCCTCCTCTTCCTCCTCTTCCTCCTCTTCCTCCTCTTCCTCCTCTTCCTCCTCTTCCCCACTCTCTGAGGAGGTACCGCTGGAGCTATCGTCCTCAGAGGAATCCTCTTCCCCCCTCTCTGCTTCAGGAGCAGCTGGCGCAGGCCTTCCTCCCTTCACACTAGGTGCACGTCCTTTAGGCCCCGACGAGATGGTACCACTCTTGCCCTTTTTCACCACTTTTCCCTCCTGCTCCTCTTCCTCCTCCTCCCCACTCTCTGCGGAGGTACCGTCCTCTTTGGATGAGGAATCCTCTTCCCCACTCTCCGACGTTGAGGATTGCTCTTGTCGCTTTGCCTTGCCCGCACCACCAGTTCCCTTTCCTGCGGCGCTTGCGGCTGCGTCGCCGGTGCCCCGCGTATCGCTCCTACCACCACCCGCTCCCTCGTGGCCCGTATCGCTCGTGGCACGCTGCTTCCCCCTGGCCGGGGGGCCACCTTCAACCTTGCCTCTTGCCTTCTTCCCTGTTGCAGCCTTCTTCCCATTGCAGCCTTCTTCCCTGGCTTCCCTGTTGCAACCTCGGCGCCACGCTCTTGCCTTGCTACCGTTGCAACGATAGGGGGCAAGGTGGAATCCTACAGAAACAATATTCAATTCAATTGCGACGAGCACACATAATAGCGTCCTGCCAAAACTTCCTGTGGTTTTGTGCAGTCGTTTGCTTCCTGCCATCATCACGGTTTCACGACAATGGGGTAACACCACGCCGATGCGGTACCGCGATCGAGGAACTGATGTCCAACATCCTCCTACATCCATTACTGCAAACAGCATGTTGCGTTGCCGCCAACGTGGATCCGCAACTGTCCCTATGTTGCAGGCGGTGACTGGATCTCGGAGATGCTTGTGCGGTTCCGCGATCGCGGAACCGCACGAGCCTGTTGCAGGCAGGAAAGGGACTGGTGACATGCTTGTGCGGTTCCGCGATCGCGGAACCGCACCAAACTATTGCAGGCAGGAAAGGGACTGGTGACATGCTTGTGCGGTTCCGCGATCGCGGAACCGCACCAAACTGTTGCAGGCAGGAAAGGGACAGGTGACATGCTTGTGCGGTTCCGCGATCGCGGAACCGCACCAAACTGTTGCAGGCAGGAAAGGGACTGGTGACATGCTTGTGCGGTTCCGCAATCGCTGAACCGCACCAAACTGTAGGAGGCAGGAAAGGGACTGGTGACATGCTTGTGCGGCTCCGCGATCGCGGAAACGTAAGGACAAGGGCAGCACTGCCACCGGCAAGCGATAGTCATCTCACCTCCTGCCGCTCCAGATCCGCCAACACATCCTGGGCAGGGTGTCCATTCAATTCCTCGACCACACTCGGTGAGGGGTCGGACAGTAGCTCCGTTGCACTCTCCAGCAAAGAGTGCGGGATCCGAATACGACCTTTCTTGATGCTCTTTACTGCCTTGAACACATCAACCGTGGAAACCCAGTGTGCCCACTCCGCCGATTTGCCAGGATGCCCATTCAGCTCTGTCACCTGCGTTACGGACAAAGACTGAAGATATGGCATCACCAGTAGGTGCGCCAGTGCAGTCGATGCTCTGCTTGTGGCGCCCGAGCTGCAATCCGCGGCAAAGGCCGCTATGGGTTCGGGTAGCCGGCGTCCACCCCACACCACTTCCTGTGGGCAACAAGCCAACACTTCGCTTATTCCTGCTGACGACAACAAGGCCACATCAATACCGCTTCTTAGCAGATGTCTAGGAATAGTGTGCGTGGGCTAAACTGTTTACCCTATACAACAGTTGCAACTTTGCATACCCTCTGGTCAGGAATCCCCCTCACGGCGGCGGCCGCTTTTAGTTGCTTGTACTCGTTGGACTTGGACGAACCGCCGGAACGGATGGCGCCACACAGTAAACCCTCCCGTGCGAAGAATGTCTCCACCCGCCTTTTCGCCCATTCGCATTGTCTAGTGCTGTCGTCTACCCCAACGGCCCTTCGCCCTTCCATAGCAGCCGCTATGAGGGCCGTGCCGGTGCCGTTGCACATGCTCACCACCGTCCCCCCGTTGGGAGACAACTGCCTTATTAGCAGCCTCGTCTCCTCCAAAGGCTTCTGGGTGGGGTTCACGGCCTTGCCGCCCACCCCCACCACGGCGTCCAACTCGGCACGGCCGTAGCGGGAGTGAGCAGCAGGCGATGGGAAGCTGTAAACGAATCTGCCTCCAAGGCGCCCCCCGGCGTCCGCATGGACCGACTCCGCCCCATTCCCGTACTTGCCGACCACCACAAAGTAACGATGGCCAGCCGACGCCGTGCCGGCCTGCAGGTTGGCATTGCCATCACGCCCAAAGACGAATAGCACGTTGCCTTTATGTGGAGAGGGCAAGTGTTTCCCTGCAGCCTCCAAAACTCGCATCCACTCGCCGACGTCTTGATGCATGCTGTACACCGCGATATTGAAGTGGCCTGGGTTGAAGGGCAACGCCGACATAGCCTGGAATGGGAAACTGTCTGGTAGCCACTTTTGGCCCGGCCCGTCCCAGGACTCCTCCCCATGCTTGGAGAGCCCAAAGGGGGGGTCGACTAGTACCAGCTCCACAAGGGACGAGCCAAGTATGTGCCTCACGTTCTCGTACGTTTCTGGTGTCTTGGCGTCCCCAGCCACAATCGACAGCCCAACGTTCCGGCCCTCCTCCCTGCCGCCAGCCCAAGCCACCTTTCGGCTCCGGAAGTCCAGCCCCGACCGACGGGCGAGGAACTGGGAGATGGCCTGGGGGCCCACGGACAACTGGCCAGGAGCAATGTCCACAGGCCGCACGTCGTTTAGATCAGGAGCGGGAGATTTCTGCTTTACAATGTCCTCCCACTTGGGAGGGGTCGCTGGGTGGGCAGGCAGACCCTTGGCGGCAGCCTCGTCCACAGCCTTTGCCAGCTCCTCGCGTTGGCCGGGGGATATTCCGGACCGATGTCCAAAGGCGACTTGGGCAGTCTTGGTGCTCCCAGCAATGTCATCCATTTCCTCTTTTTCGATCTGACGGACAGAAAGCAAAACAGCAATTGAAGCAAAGAACTGCAACACGGTTGCAAATTGACAGACGCACTCCGAGGAGGCGCAGGGGTTCTCGCACGGCGCAAGCTAATATTATTCGGCAGCACTCCCTAATGTGGTTTTGTGAATAGCAACAACACCACAAAATGCGGGTAGGAGGCATTCCAATATGCGGTTACGTGTTCGGGCAACTTGAGGTAGCAGCCCGAGTGTACGTCTCATTTCCTTTGCGGCGGCGGCTGCAGGACACCTGGGCCAGTGCTAAACACAAGCAAAAAACCCAACTGCACACTTGCAGGCGGTTGCGCGATCGAGGAACCGCAGTTGGGTGCTTCCCATCTAGATTGCCAGCCGGCAAGCCCCCCTTCACCTCTGCCACCCAAGTAAGTACTCACCTGCCCTGCCTGGAGCAACGACGCAGCTTCATACTCGTCCCTTGCCCCGCGCATCCAGGCCAGCAACGGCTGGACAACTGCATCCCGCAGGGCCAATGTCAGCTGATCCAGGCCTGGGAACAACTGGACTTGACGTTCCAGCCACCAACGTGCGGCTCTGGCGAAGGGTGCAAGGAACAAGTTCTCCTGAGGAGTGACGAGGTGGAGCCCGTCCCCCTGGCCGCGGAGCAACGCGTTCTCGTCGTGGATCCGAGGCCGAACGGCAACCCGGCCAAAGTGGTGGTACAGAGCATGTGCAACTGGTTGAGCTTCCTCAATCTCACCCGACCTTATGTACAGGTCGTGAGCACGCAGAATAGCCTTGAAAAAGACAGCCTCCAATGTGTCCCGTGTTGCCGTGCTCCTACCGGTTGCTGGCGAACCCCCGGCTCCCGTGTCCACTGCTGCGTCGCGCACCTTGGCTGATGGCATTGCGTCTTCCCGGGAAACAAACGCTGGGAAGATATCCACGTGCTCCTTCAGCCCAGCAGTGAACTCCTTGTACCATCTCTTCTCCTGGTCGGTCCCCATTTTGTAGGCTGCGGTTCTGCGGGTCACTGCATTTTTCGCACACTTCTTGAACGCCATGATGAACGTCCGGGGCTGTAGGCCTGTTGTGGTGATCAAGTGCTTGCGGTCCATGATGCGGTCGAGGTCATCTTTGTCGGCTGTGAAACCCAACTTTTCGTCAAGGATGGACTCCCATCCGGTGACACTCCTGGTTGAGTTACGCACTAGCCACGCAAGCAGATCGCGCCAGGCTAGGAAGCCGTGCCAGCAGGCATGCACATTCCACAAATCCTTCAGCAGACCAAACCACGCATGCACATTGGGCGCATGCCAGTGGCCTACCAACTTCCCCGCATCAACAAGCCAGTCGAGGCCATTGTCAGACAGCACGTCCCTGATGTTCTCCTGTAGCCACGACTCTGGGATGGTAGCAATTTCGCGGAAAACATATCTTCTCATGGGCTCCTTGCTGCACTTACTGGACAGGCCGGGGGCTTTCCCAGATTCCAGCTTGCGCACCAGTTTGATTACAGCGTTGAAGGCTTCGTCTTCCATGTGCGAGAGGTTGATCTCGGGGAGGAACGCAGCGGTGACGCTCTTTGGCTTTGCTTTGTTGTCCTTCAGGGACTGGAATGCAAGCTCCAGCGACTCCCTATGTGCCTGGTCAATCTGCAGACAACAACAAGCATATGAGCAAAGGCAGCAGGTGGAGGAACTTGGCATTGTTGAAGGGCAACACAGGCTAGAAAAACAAGAAGGGTAGGTGATTGTCCGTTAGAGTGAAATCTTGAAAGGCATAACGGC